GGCTTCAATGCCAAACGGGTTTCCGCCGCTGTGATGAAGATCTGGCACAGCGTTGCGGCCGCATATCGCGCAGCACACGACTGCGACGACTACATCACGAAGTACCCAAGCCAAAATGTGCCAGACTCGCCAGACACTGCTTCCCATGATGCAGCAAATGTCTTGCAGCATGAAAGCGATGGCAACAAGAGATGGCACAAGAGAAGTCCACTGAGAAGAAACCACGCCTGAGTGTGCACGAGAAAGTTCGCAAACAACTGCCCTGAAATTGGCGCCCGCTGCGAACCGCTGCTACTGGCACAGCTTCTCTGAAATCTACTTGATGGTTCAAACTGGCGACGACTGTATACTGTAACCACCTGAAGACTAGCGTCAGTGAGCATGTTTCGGTTTGGGGCCGAGGGTTGGGTGCTTCTTAGGGCTTGGAGGGGTTTGAATGGTTAGTTGTTTTGCATGGCTTAGAATGTAGGGACTGTAGTTCCAGGCCTTTTAGGCCTTTGGTTGGTTAAGCCCTACACGCCCTCCAGACCACGAAACCCCCAAACACTGACCTTGTGGCTTGAACGGCTCTAAAAGGTGTCAGCCTTGGGCTTGCAGGGTTTGTCGCTTACGGTTTTTAGGGTTTAGGGTTTAGGGTTTAGGGGGTTCCCCTGCCCTTTGGCTGCAGGATCTCCGTTCAAGGATTCCTAGTAGAGACATGATATTAGATGACCCTAAACATTAAACCCCAAACCCTAACCCCCAAACCCCAAACCCTCAACCCCAAACAAACATGCTGGCAATTGTACACCATGAGGGTTCAGGGTGTGGGTTTCTTATTCTAACGGGCAGTTGCGGGGTCCTAGGAGGGTTTAGGGTTAGGGTTTCTTTCGGGGTTTAGGGTAGGGAAGGGGTCTTCAAGTCCATAAACGCCCAAGGGCAAGAAAACCCCAAACCCTAAAAACCTAGAACCCTAAACCCTAAGCCCTAACAAATTTGTCCAGGCTTGCTGGTTCCCTGAGTGGCCACGAGTTTCTCTGGTTCACGTTCGGCGTGCCCTGGTGCTGAGGGTATAGGGTTTAGGGTTCATGGTTTAGGTTTAGGGTTTAGGGTTTAGGGTTTAGAGTTAAAGGTTTGCTGGGGCTGAGGTGGGGAGAACAAGGATATGTTTCTTGACGGACTGTTGAGAGCGGAAGGGTGTACGTCTTGCATCGTGCAAACCTTGTTGCTAGGGCTTAAGCTCTCGTACAAGCCAACCCTGACCCAGAACCTCAAACCCCAAACCCCAAACCCTAAACCCTAAACCCTGAACCCTGAACCCTGAACCCTAAACCCTAAACCCTAACCAACAGACATGAAGACAAGGCGCCCTCACTTTGACATTGCTCCTGGGCCACTCATACGGCCCTCAATCCGAAACCCCAAACCCCAAGCCCAAGCGGTTTAGGGTTTAGGGTTCGGCGTTTAGGGTTTAAGATACTGTATATATATATATATATATACACATGTATATGTATATATATATATATTATATGTATATATATATATATATATATTTGCCCGTATTGGGTTGAAGAGGATCATATCTTGGATTTGTTTCACCGGGTTTTCTGGGCCACCCTCGAAACCCAAGCTGCGATTTGCTAAGGTCTACTTGGAGGTTCATGGGTGCTATAAACAGGGCTAGAAGTGCATGTGCCCTAATTAAATAGGATTCCCAAAGGGCCCATGTACCTATAGAGTATATGTTTGGGCCTTACATGGATTCCTTATAGTAGCTTAAGGGCCCAAGTATATACAATGTGGGTACATGGACTCTTGGGGGTTATAGGTATAGTTCTCATACTTATATCCCTAAACCCTAAACCCTAATTCCTAAACCCTAAAACCCTAAACCCTAAACCCTTAAACCCTAAAACCCTAAACCCTAAACCCTAAACCCTAAACCCTAAACCCTAAACCCTAAACCCTAAACCCTAAACCCTAAACCCTAAACCCTAAACCCTAAACCCTAAACCCTAAACCCTAAACCCTAAACCCTAAACCCTAAACCCTAAACCCTAAACCCTAAACCCTAAACCCTAAACTAAACCCTAAACCCTAAACCTACTTCTTATGACTACATACCCCTGAACACCCAAGTAAGGTCTTGCAGCGTCAAGCCTACGAGGGCAACTGGCTCCAACGGCCCGGTCGCCGAGAGGACCGACCCGCAGGAGTAGTCGTGTAGGTTAGGGTTGAGGGTTGAGGGTTGAGGGTTTAGGGTTTAGGGTTTAGGGTTTAGGGTTTAGGGTTTAGGGTTTAGGGTTTAGGGTTTAGGGTTTAGGGTTTAGGGTTTAGGGTTTAGGGTTTAGGGCTTTCGGTGCCTTAAACCCGAAGCCCTAGACCCGAAACCCTGAACCCCAGTTTTCAGAGTTCAGATTTTCGGGCTTAGGTTTACAGGATTGTTGTGTCTGGGGGTTAAGGTTTTGGGGCTTCGGAGCTTTGAGGGTTTCCGGGTTTGGGGCTTAGGTTACAAAGGGCGGTTGGGTGAGTGGCTGGGTTTTTGCAGGAAGTCCTGAGCTGAATCTGAAACCCTAAACCCTAAACCCTAAACCTTAAACCTTAAACCCTGCAGGATCAGATGCTACTTCTGTTGCGCGCACTCCGCCCTCGGCGGACAATCCCGAAGCTGCCCTTGGGGCCATGGTCCCAGGCTGGTTCAGGGGGCTAGGGGATTCGGGGATTAGGGGTTTCGGGTTTAGGGTTTTGGGTTCAGGGTTTAGGGTTTAGGGTTTAGGGTTTAGGCAACCTCAAGCAACCGACACAGCCCCCGAGGTAAGGGTTACCCTAAGCCCCAAACCTTCAGATGTAGGAATTTGGGACATGATGGAGGATAGTTGCGGGGAGGGGGGGCGGGTGGGGGTGGGGTTAAGGAACCCCTAAACTCAAACATGTGGTTGCTAGGGCTGCTATGGTTTTGGGGTTTAGGGGGACTTACATTTTGAGGGTTTGAGCCCAAATGTGTAAAGCCTCAGGGACTGAACACATTAGCCCATAAATCCCGAACCTTTTTCCCTAAACCCTAAGCCCTAAACCCTAAACCTTTACGCCCTAAACCCTAAACCCTAAACCCTAAACCCTAAACCCTAAACCCTAAACCCTAAACCCTAAACCCTAAACCCTAAACCCTAAACCCTAAACCCTAAACCCTAAACCCTAAACCCTAAAACCTACACCCTAAACCCTAAACCCTAAACCCTAAACCCTAAACCCTAAACCCTAAACCCTAAACCCTAAACCCTCCCCTCTCCCCTCCTCCCTCCCCCCCCCCCCTTTGCAGGGCGTGCTTCCTGAAGCCCTGGAAGCCGGAGACTGCGGGCCGGAGGCTGGGGCTGTAGGATTTAGGGTTTAGGGTTTAGGGTTTAGGGTTTAGGGTTTAGGGTTAAAGGTTTGGGGTTTAGGCTTCAAGGCTTAGGGTCTAGGGTGTAAGGTTAGGCATCAGGGCTTGTGGGTTAGGGATCCCTAAACCCGAAACCCGAAACCCTAAACCCCAAACCCCAAACCCTAAACCCTAAACCCCAAACCCTAAACCCTAAACCCCAAACCCTAAACCCTAGCCCTAAACCCCAAACTCCAGGGGATTTACCCCATGCCAGGACGTGCCCTTGGTGCTGCAGCTCATTCCGGCAGCCTCTTGGTAGCCCAGTGGTACCCTCTTACCCTTTTTTTGGTTCAAGGTTTAGGGTTTAGGGTTTAGGGCTAGGGTTTAGGGTTTAGGGTTTAGGGTTTAGGGTTTAGGGTTTAGGGTTAAGGGTTTAGGGTTTAGGGTTTAGGGTTTAGGGTTTAGGATTTAGGGTTCAGGGTTTAGGGTTTAGGGTTTAGGGCGTGTCCTTGCTACTAAGGCCTGGGGCGAGGATGCCGAGTACATGGCTCGGGAGGCGCAGGCGCTTGAAGGGTTCTTTGGGGCGCTTGGTTTTTTGTTTGTTAGGGCTTAGGCCATCTATATAAGACCTTATAAGCCCTGCACATACAGATATACATATATATATATATATATGTATATGTATATATATATATATATATATTAAGATCAATATTTATATAGCCCATATACCCCTAAGCCCTCGAAAGCCTATAAACTGCACAAACCCGAAAGTCCAGACGTGCCCTAGATCCCAACAGTGCCTGGGACTCCAGGACGATTCTGGTTTAGGGTTTAGGGTTTAGGGTTCAGGGTTTAGGGTTTTGCCCTTACCCAAAGGGTCCACATACCTCCAAAGTGTGTACTTGGGCTTCAAAGGGGTTCCTATCTAGTAGCTTTAGTATAGGGCCCTCGTATATACTACATGGGGGGCAGGCTTGCAACAAGAGGGTGTGGGGTTTGGGGTTTAGGGTTTAGGGCTTTGGGGTTTCGGATATAGGGCTTTGGCTCTTCTACCTGGGACTCCAAAAGTTTACCCACAGTTCTCGCATAGGGTTTAGGCTTTAGGCTTTAGGGCCTAGGGTTTAGGGTTTAGGGTTTAGGGTTTAGGGAGGTGCCCCATGAACTGAGGGTGTTCGTCCTCGGACAAACCTCAGCAGCCTCAGCCCTTACGATTTCTTTTGGTGTGCCGGAGCTCTACTGAAACTTACTGTTGGGTAGTAGGAATGAGGGAATGAGGTACCCTATGTCCCCCCTATAGAGGCCCTTTAAGGGATTATATAGGGTACCTCATTCCCCCATGCGCTACTAACCAACAGCTGTAAGAAAACTTGAGTTTCTTTGGCCCTGTGTCTTCGCCCTGAGCCCTGGATCCCTAACATGACAGCGGCAGCGTGGAGCTTGCCGCAGACCTAGGGTTTAGGGTTTAGGGTTTAGGGTTTAAGGTTTAGGGTTTAGGGTTTAAGGTTTCGGGTTCCCGAGTAATTAAGGACCAGTGTCTTCATATCAGATGCCTCTTTGTTTTGTTCCTAGGTTTTGGGAGGGGGGCCCAAGTGTCGAACCACTATCAACCGCCCGAGAATTTCAGGTTTTGGGGCTCAGGGCGTCACAACGCTCCTTAAACCCCATAAACCACCCTAAACCCTAAACCCTGAACCCTAAACCCTAAACCCTAAAGGCTGGAGCATGCTGAGCAGCCTCGACCTTAACCTGTCCACCCAACATTGCAATTAGCTACACGGTCCCATAGTATGGGGAGGACCCCTTATATACCCCTTATAATACCCTCTGCAAAATGAAGGGCCATACGTCAAACCCTAAACCCTAAACCCTAAACCCTAAACCCTAAACCCTAAACCCTAAACCCTAAACTTTAAGCGATTTAAGGGGCCATGTTCAGGGCCCATGTAACTGCCCTCCGAAACGTAGCCACAGGAGCTGCTGGGCCCAGATGCAACGGGCGTGATTCTTGGGTTGCAGATTCAGGGTTTAGGGTTTAAGGTTTGGGGTTTCTTGGGTTGCTTCTTCTGAATGTGAAAAAAATGTGTGTGTGTGTGTGTGTGTGACGCCTGATGCGGCAAACCTCACGCAATTGCACAAACACCGAAGAAAAAAAACGCGCATGCACACACGCAAAGCAAAAAACAAAACAAGCAAAACAACACACACACACACACACACGACAGAGTAGTCAGGCATAAGTCAGGTAAGAGACTCAAAAGATTCGAAAGCTTGATTTCCTAGCATCGTATGTGCATGGTAATTCTCGAATTCCCTTCTGGCCACACTCGTAAAATCGGAATTCCCTTACGAATGCCTATCGGAGTGTCTGGTGTCTATTCAGTCCTGTATGAATGCCTATGAGAGTGTCTGGTGTCTGTCGTCTGATAGACATAGTACTGAGGCATAGGCATATAGACAGAGTAATAGACAGAGTAGTCAGGCATAAGTCAGGTAAGAGGCTCAAAAGATTCGAAATCACAGGTTCAAGTTGAGCCCAAGAAGACCCCTCCGGCGAAATCATGAGTTCAAGTTGTAGAATTCATTTCCAGGGTTCTTATATACCCTATCAAGTTGTAAGTTAAAGAACCCTGGAAATGAATTCGTCCCACGAAGGGAATTTGGCCGGTGGGGCCTTCTTGGGCTCAACTTGAAGCCTCGGAATGCATTTTTGACATCTTTCGGGCGGCCTCGGGAATGCTTTTAGAGCATCTTCGAGCGGCTTCGGGGGCTCCATTTTTAGCATGTTCGAGCGGCCTCGGGGATGCTTTTTTAGCATCTTCGAGCGGTATCGGAAATGCATTTTTTGGCATCTTTCGGGCGCTCGGGCGGTATCGAGATGTATTCTAGCACTCATTTGGTGATTCAATTGACCGGTCGCGTCAATTGAATTTCAACCCTCCCGAGTATGTGTGTTCCAAAAAATGAACCAGAGGGAATGTCTGACACCGAAAGGGTGTCTGAAGACCACTTTGACAGGAAACCCAAAAAAGATGAACTAGAGAGGTGTTTTTAACAGGAAAACAAAAAATGAACCAGAGGGGCGTCTGACACTGAAGGGTGTCTTATTAGACCACTTCGAACCCAAACAAAAATGAACCAGAGAGGTGCCTGACACCGAAAGGGTGCCTTGAGACCACTTTGACAGGAAACCCCAAAAAATGAACCAGGAGGGAATGTCTGACACCGAAAGGGTGTCTGAAGACCACTTTAACAGGAACCCAAAAAAATGAACCAGAGGGTGTCCTTGACAGGAAAACCAAAAAATGAACCAGAGGGGCGTCTGACACTGAAAGGGTGTCTTAAGACCACTTTGACAGGAAACCCCCAAAAAATGAACATAATCGAAATCCTCAAACTCGATCATGAATCCCAGGATTTCCCTTTATTTCTAAAAATGATCGAAAAACTACAGGTTTTCGTTTATTTGTGAACATTTTTGAAAACCTCAAAATTGAATGAATCACAGATTTTGCTTGAAAGTGTCTTGAGACCACTTTAACAGGAAAAAAATGAACCAGAGAGCGTCCGACACCGAAAGGGTGTCTGAAGACCACTTTGACAGGAAACCCAAAAAAGACGAACCAGAGGGGTGTCTTTAACAGAAAAACCAAAAAATGAACCAGAGGGGCGTCTGACACTGAAGGGTGTCTTATTAGACCACTTCGAACCCAAACAAAAATGAACCAGAGAGGTGCCTAACACCGAAAGGGTGCCTTGAGACCACTTTGACAGGAAACCCCAAGAAATGAACCAGGAGGGAATGTCTGACACCGAAAGGGTGTCTGAAGACCACTTTGACAGGAACCCAAAAAAAAGAACCAGAGGGGTGTCTTTGACAGAAAAGCCAAAAAATGAACCAGAGGGGCGTCTGACACTGTAAGGGTGTCTTAAGACCACTTTGACAGGAAACTCCAAAAAATGAACATAATCGAAATCCTCAAACTTGATCATGTATCCCAGGTTTTCCCTTATTTCTAAAAATAAACGAAAACTACAGGTTTTCGTTTATTTGTGAACATTTTTGAAAACCTCAAAATTGAATGAATCACAGATTTTGCTTGAAAGTGTCTTGAGACCACTTTAACAGGAACAAAAATGAACCAGAGAGTGTCCGACACCGAAAGGGTGTCTTTAGACCATACCAAGAAAAATGAACCAGAGTGTCTTAAACCGAAATGGTGTCTTGAGACCACTTTGACAGGAACCGGATGTCTTGAGACCACTTTGACAGGATCCGGATTTGCAAGGCTTGGAAACAGTTGGTTCAGAATGTCAGACACTGTCAAGGCCGCGGTTAACACGGTGTTAGGAAGAGTGGAACTGAGGTTCTTCAGAAGTTGGACCATCTTGTGTTGGTGAGGAAACTTTTACAAGAAGTTGTGGGAAGACTGCAGGGTGAAGCCTGAGTCTGGGAGCGATGTTGAACACGAGCCAGTGAGGCTCCACGAGGAGTCCAAGAGGAGGACGAGAGCGTGGAAGTTCCATGCCCATCATGAATGCAATGCTGAGACAAGACGAAGGGCAGACCCTTCTTTTCCGGGTTTGGAAACAAGTTAGCCCAGTTTGGAGACCAGGTATGGTGCAAGAGGACCAACCTGTGTCTGGCCCGGTACATAGAGGTTGAGCTCTTGTCTTTCTCCAGGGGTGGAGGTCTAGGTGGTGGACTTGGAGTCGCTACCCGGAAAACCTGGGTCCCCTGTGCCAGAATACCCCGATGCACCATTACATCCCGAAGACGAACTGGGAATGTTCTCCGTCTGAATGTTCTGAGGTGGAGGGGGAACATTCAGCTGTTGTTGTTGTTGCTGCATCATCCAGTGCTGCTGTTGTTGCTGTTGTACCATGGATGATGTCATAAACTGTTGCTGTTGCACCACAAGCTGTTGCATCATACCTTCCAAGTCTCGCACTTGTCTCGTCAACCCTTGCACATCAGGTGGTGAATGCGATGGCATCACCGCAGGTTGAGGAAACAGCAGGCAATCCCGGAGGTTGTGATGGACTTCCCATCACTTGCTGAGGCAATCCAGGAAAAGCACCATCAGGACTTCCGGTGAGAGGGATGTGTTCGCCCGATCAGACAAATGGTTGCCCAGTTTGCCAACCATTGACTTTTCGTCATGGAAAGATCGCATCTCGGAAGCGCTTTGGCTTTTTGACCTGGATGGAGAAACTGACCAGTTGGGTCGGATTGGGTTCTGAAGTGTTTCCCAACGAGTTGATGCATGTCCCGGTTGAAACAGGATCAGCTTACTGTTGAGCAACAGAAGCGGTCGACACGATTGATGCACATCCTGCGACAGACGTTTGCAAGTCATGAGAAGAGTTCTCTGATTCTGCAGACCTATGTTGAAAGTGAAAGCACTTATCAACAATCTGGCTTTGTGGCATTGAGGTTGCTGGCGAAGGAATTTTGCTTGAAGTCGCGGGCCGAGTGTCTGTACTTTCGGTCGCAGCTAGTGAACCAGACTGTGAAAGCTCCAAGCATTCCGGAAGTTGTTCGAAAGATTGAGCATGAGATGAACATATGTGCGAAGTTGCTCAATAGTCTCGATTCCGATGTACATGCTGGCGGTTTACAGCTCCAAGAGGCTGATTCGGTGATGGTTTTGCTGCGAAGTTTGCCAGATAAATGCCGAAGCCATTGCTTGTTGCATGGCAACAGTGAGTCATTTGAAGATTTGAAACGAGTTGCTCTGAAGTTTGAAGTACAACAGAGGGTGTGGTCCGAAACCCCTGGTACGAAACGGGCAACGATGAGAAACCTAAAGGCAAAGGAAAGGAACAGAAAGGCAAGCGTGAATCAAGCAAAGGTGCTGGAAAACGTGCTCCAAGCCAGAGCAAGAAGGATGTTGAGTGCTATGTGTGTCATGGAAAGGGGCATTATGCCCGCGATTGTTGGTACAAAGATGGAGAGTTAGCCAACAAGACTGATTCCCCCGGTGCTAAGGCTAAAGCCAAGGCAAAAGGAAGCCCCAAGAAGAAGAAGGCTGAAAAAGGGAAGCCTAAAGGAAAAGGAAAGGGCAAAGGGAAGACAGTTGCAGAAGTCTCCCAAGAGGGTGAATCGAACGACTATCAGTTGGTTGGAGGTGAATGGAATGAACCTGAATCAGAGGCCCGAGTGGCCTCTGGAGGATTTGTTAGATGAGGCGAAGAAGGAATGGATTCCACGAAGCTCTGATGAGTTCGATTGGTCGTGGGAAGCTGAGACGAGAGTCCGAATTGCTGAGTTGGAGCATCGGATCTCCACAGATCTAGCTCAGATGATGCCATCTAACTTGATTCAATCTTTAATGAAGCCTCCAATGAGTCAAGTCAAGAGTCTGGAGAAAGATGATGCGAGCCGATGGTGGTTGATCGACTCAGGAGCGTCGGTGACAGTGATTGCGAAGAGATACTTGGATGAATTCCAGATCTTGGATCGGAAGGCGTTGGGACCTAATGAGAGGTACTCAGCAGCCAATGATACCCCTGTGAATGTCTTCGAGCGAGTTCGCGTTCGAGCTTTGTTGCCGATGTATGAAGGAAAGCAGTATCTTGGTTTGATCTCGGTCTATGTGACTGGAGTTGTGGCGGATGTGGCGCACAACATCTTGAGTACCGAGCAAATGGTGAGGACTGGCTGGGAAGTGAAGTTTACCCGAAAGGAAATTTCGCTGCGACACGAAAAGAAAGGAGTCATGGGATATGGAGTATCCTGGGCTGGATGTCCTTGGATCTATCTGCAAGGTGATGCTGAAAAGCGAAAGAAAGTTACCTTCGGACGAACCGAGGTTCGGCAAATGGCTGTGGATGATGGCCAACAACCTATGGAGGTTGATCAGATGCAGTCAGTGAAGACGATGACCAAGAAAAAGCAAGAGGAAATGGAGCTGCATCGGATGCGAGGCCACATTCCGTTTTGGTCCGAATGTCCTCATTGTCGGATGACACGAGGGACTACACAGCATCGCCGGACCAA